TGCTCACCTGGCTGTTCAGGTCTCCGGTGCTGCTCCTGTCCCTCTCCTGTCCTCAGTCTGAGTACTCACCTCACCTGGCTGCAAGAACTTCAGAGATCAGCAGGTCTGGTGTGTGTTCATACGCAGAGACAGAGGGGAGAGGCTGTGTGTGTGAAAGGTCGGAAGATAAATATAGAACTGACTGGGTGAAATAATGAGGGCTGTGTTTTGGGGGTGGGGGAGGTGAGGTCTGTGGGGGGAATGACCAGCATGTTTAGAGTGGAAGAGACTGAGCATGAAAGGAGGTAAAAAGAGGAAGAGAGAAAGGAAAGGAGATGGGAGGTGTGGCTTGTGTTATGACATTTCTCCCTCTTGCTGTCTCGCTCTCTCTCACACAGCAGAGAGAGAGAGCGAGAGAGAGCAGCGTGCAGCATGTGTGTCTGAAGGGAGAGAAACACACAGAGAGCCTCAGATCAGGCTATGCGCGCAGCTTGTCTGAGTCACTGCACTCTCATACTGCTCTCTGTGTCTGCATCAGACGCACAGAGGGAGAGGGCTGGAGACCACAGAAACGTACACAGACGGGCTGAGGTTGGGAATGCCTTTCATATATAATCTCTGCTTCGTCTCTCTGCCTCTCTTCTCCACTGACCTGCCCATTTTCGTGAGTGTGTTTAGAGAGGGAGAGTGGGCGGGGGAGACTTCATTTGAAACCTGTCTTGGCTTGTCTCTGTTAGTGTGCTTTTTACGTTATGATTTTGTGTCAGTGTGTGTGTGTCCGTGTGCATCTTTGTGCATCTGTTGATGTGTCCGTGTTTCTACGCTGTTGGGCAGTCTCTGCATCTGCATCTGTGTGTCTGTGCTGTTGATGTGTCTGTGTGTCTGTACATTTGTGTGTCTGTGTGTCTGTGCTGTTGGCATGTTTGTGTGTCTGTGCTGTTGAAGTGTCTGTGTGTCTGTGGTGTTTATATGTCTGTCTGTGCTCTTGATGTGTTTATGTGTCTGTGTGTCAGTGCTGTTTGTATGTCTATGTGTCTGTTTGTCTCAATGCCTGTACTGTTTATATTTCCATGCTATTTATGTGTCTGTGTTCAAGCTGTTTGTGTTTCTGTATGTCCATGCGGTTTGTGTGTCCGTGCTGTTAATGTGTCTGTGCTGTTTGTATGTCTGTGTGTCTGTGGTGTTTATGAGCAGCATGTCTGTGCTGTTGATGTGTCTGTGTGTCTGTGCTGTTGATATGTCTTGTGTGCCTGTACGTCTGTGTGTCTGTGCTGTTCATATACAGTATCTGTGTGCCTGTACGTCTGGGTGTCTGTGCTGATCATATATCTGTGTGTCTGTACATCTGTGTGTCTGTGCTGTTGATGTGTCTGTGTGTCTGTAGGTGGTGTATCTGTGCTACTGGTGTTTGTTCCTCTTATGCAGGAGAGTCTTTAGTTAATGTTCATACTGAAGGAGAAGTGATGGATTAATGGCGAGCTGGATTTCTCATGATGAGGCTGGTCACTCCTCTACAGTGATGCTGGCAACGAGTTGATCATTAATGTTTTATTGCAGCAGCCATCAAGCAAGCTATGTGTGTTCGTGTATGGTGATGTGTGTGTGCTTCTGCTGATGAATCTGTGAGAATGTACAGGGATGTGTCTTGTGTCGTGTGCTTGTTCACGTGACTCTGCTTGTGCTCTGTATTTGGGTGTATTTAAAATAAAAATGAAGAATCCTTGTTGATGGTCTTGAGAGTGATAGAAGCACCGTTCAATATTAAACAGAAAAAAAAAACCCAAAGAAAGGCCAAATCTATGACTGCGAGCCCTGAATCTAAGGCTAATAATTATCATAATACCCCCCTACATATTAAATCATCTGAATGCCTTTCCTTCCTTTATTGGTATTTTTCTTACAGTCACTCTTGAGGGTATTATGGTGCTGTTGTTGTGATGTTCTCGTTATCACCACGAAGATCATGGTGATAACCAGGCCTCGTAAACTGCATAGCGGTGGCTTATCATTATTGTTATTGTTGTCGCTCATAATTCTGATTTAATCCATTTGCATTCTTAAAAGTATTCATACAGTGATAAGTATTATCTGTGTAGTTCTATGTGGTGCGATTACTAATATGACTTTTTAGTATGGGT